TGTCTTTATACCATGTTACAGATAACTGTGATATTGGCAAGCATCTAAAGCCTCTGCTAGAATTAGGATTAGGAAAAGTCAATATCTTGGCACTGATTTTAAAGTGATAGAAAAACTTAAGTAAAAACGAACTTTCAATGTTTCTTGATCTTGAAAAAACGTATTTAACTCCCATCACACCAAACAAAGCCGCATATCCTGGGCTCTAAACAAAGCGTATTATTAATGAGCACCAGATATTGAAACCTTATAATAATAATTGACTTAATAGAGGTTAAATTGATCAGTGTGTTATTTTCATCTTAAGATAAGCAGATAATAAAGATTTTATCACAACAGAACAAACCTAAGATCTCAGTATGACAATATAATCAGTGACTTAACCAGTTATCTAATAAACCAAATGGGTTTCTCTTGTGTCTGCAGCTCCACCTGTGGTCAGTGAGTGTAATTTGTGTGGCGGCTCTTCATCACTTGTTTGTCCGTCCTGTGAAAATAAGCCTTTCTGCGACGCTTGTGATGACCTGTATCACCGCCACCCCTCCAGAGCCAGTCACAAGAGAGACAAAATACAGAAAGCCCCACAGGGTGCGTCAATTTTCCCCTAAGTCAAATCCTAACATGTTTTTGTGCGTGTGTTGAATTTTAAACTGGGTTATGTGTTGTTTTATAGAGACTTGCAGCATCTGTGGTATTTCCTCTGTTCATATTGAGTGCTCCACCTGCATCCAGAGGTTGTGCTTGAACTGCGACAGGCTCTTCCACTCCCACCCTGAGCGCAGAGGACACAGCAGGACCAACCTGTCTGCCACCGCTACATCCAGGTGAGGAAGCCTGGTCAGCATGGCTCTAAGGGGCACAGTCCCTTTGATATGAATTCTTCCTCTTGTTTTCTCAGTGCGTCTCTGTCCACCTGGGAGTGCGCCCACTGCACTACAATGAACGAGACCAGAGCCGTCCTCTGCACAACATGCGACCGTCCTCGACTTGCCACTCCTGCAATAACTGTTCAAGATGGCACCGGGTCCGGACCAACGTCACAAAACACCGGTCAGAGAAAACAAAGAGACCTAAATAAACAGTGACTTTCATTACTTTAGACAGACCTGTTAAAATGGCAGGATTTCTGCATATTATCCAAACATATTGTAATCTTAATCCTGCACAGAAGATGTTGCCTTAATCTTACAACAAAGATTTGCTCACCTTTTAAACTAATATCTGTATTTTATTCAGTTTCAGCATTTTTTTGGTAGCAGTCCATCAGTCCAGCAGCACCAGAAAACATGTTTTAATGTCTGCAGAAAACTGCATTGATTCCACTGATTATTTATTATTATTATTTTTTTTTTTTTATGGCACTAGTTGCTCGTTTTTTTTCAACACTGACAGGAAAGAGGGAACGAGAGAGGGGGAGAGACATGTGGTAAACCTGGATTAGCCGCGTCGAGGACTAAAGGGTAGATTATACTTATGCAACCGCAGACATCAAATGTCGCTTGGGTCTGGTCGCAAACCAGTTTTGCTGGTTTGCTTCTGCACCATCGGTCTGGAATTTGTTGGGATCCACAGCAGTTTCCCGCCAAAGCGCTACGGGGAGTCTATGCTAGAACTCGCAAAAACTTCGGCGGATGGTCATGAGAACTTCGGCTGGGCCGGCGGGAGTGTTTGTCTTCCAAAACAACAATGGAGCGTCTGCAAGATATCACGGTCACAGAGATGGATCTAGAATTCCTAGACATCGAAGATGATATATTTATTTATATAATTGGTCTGAGGCATCGTACAAGAGGTTGTACTTGCGAACCTCCTCGATTATCCTTTCATCGTATTTGTCCATTGTAGTTGTTCCTCGGTTTTTAAAAATGGCGCGCCAATCACAGCTGCTTTTTGTCTGCGCACTTCCGCTTGAGGTCTGCGCGGGTTTGCGACCGTCCAACGCCTAGTCAGGATTTTTTTTAGGTGCCCGACGACGGTTGCAGAACAGAGACAGATTTGATGGTTGCAGAGGCAATGCGTCAAATGCATAGATTGGCCTTAAGGCCTCTGTACATGGGTCGTGCGCTAACTACTGCGCCACCTGCACTCCCTGATTGATTATTGATAACCTGCATTTCATCACAAAAGGCTGGCTCCCATAATTCCTGAATCTCATTGCCTCAGCTCTTACAGATATAAGCTCAATGAGGGGATTAAAGGCAACCTTAAATCGTTAAATTAGTCGTCTTTATCCCAAAGCCTGAATGCTATTGTTTACCCTGTAGATCAGGGGTCTGCTACCAGTGGCTCTTCTGCACCTACTCCTAAGTAGGGATGCAACTAAATATTATTTTGCAAATCAATTAATTTTTCTTGACAGAAAAAGGTTCTTTAAAGAAGATTTTTTTGCAAAAATAAACCAGGTGAATCTAAAACTTTTCCAGCTGAGGAGTTCTGGATAGAGCATATTGACATCTGAAAAAGTTTGATCTTAAATGCAAAATGTTTATATATTTTTACAATTTTGGTATAACTACTGGTCTGCGTGGGTTGCTGTGTCAACTAAAGGCATGTTTTACAGTCTATACTCCAATTAACGATTAATCGATTACTAAATTAGTTAACGATTATTTCAATAATCAGTTAATCACAGTTAATCCGATTAATTGTTTTAGCCCTACTCTTAATAGTGGCCCAAAATGATATAATAAAATGACTATTGTAGTATTATAACAAAAACAAGTCATAGAAGCTTTAGTTTTTCTTTTTTTTTTTTTTTTTTTTACA